CCAAGGCCGCGCGGCCGAGGTCAGTGACCCTGCCAAAGTCGCGCGGCGGATGTCAGTGACATTACTGTAGTATGTATATAATACATATAATACAATATAAAGTATAATATTATAAATATATAATAAATTATATGTATAATATGTGTATTATTTAATGTTATATATAATATAAATTAAAGTCACGTTATTTTCACGTGTTGTTTTTCTACTCTTTCCTGTCACATGACTTTAGTTACGTTTTTAATTTTCTCCACGTATACGACGAACTGTCTCGAAATCGCTTTCTGTCATTATTTACTCTCTCGATCTTACCGATTCGATTCGACTCGACTCTACTCGATCAACCAACCAATCGGCAATACGGAAAAGAGGCAACAATAGATGCGATACATTCGATATCAAAATGCGCACATAAAATATATTATTATTATTTAATAATTTCTTTATATAACCGCATTCATTTGCATAAACGCGCAAGCATACACGTATAAAATATTATTATATAACAATTCCTCTTTTAAAAAAATTTTCGTGCCAAACGAAATGTTTCTTAAAACTGATAATCATTGAGCCACACATTTGTATGCGAGTGATAAATAAGAAGGCGGATGCAACAAGCGTGCGAAGTAGACAGAAAAGAGTGCGTCGCCTACGAGGGCGTTTCGCCGTGTCGCGGTTATCTAATACCACCGGCGTCGTCGTCGTCGTCGTCGTGCATTTACACCGGAAACTCAATTGCCGGAAGTCATCGTAGGTAATGTTGTTCTTTTATTCTTCCGTGCGCGCACGTACATACCTCGAGCGTGAAGATTTAGAAACGTATTCCGAGCAATCGTCGAGATTGCGTAAAGCATTATGACAAAACTTTATGTAAATAGCTTTAACGTTGTTTTTTTGCAATATAATGCTCGAGATTGTTTTGTTTTCTAAACGTGTTCATTCAAACCATGAAAATTTGTTTGTGTAAAAAACTTATTGCGTCAAAAGTTTTTTTGTAAACATAAATTTGTCACTTACGAGACAGTGTTGTAATAAAAGATTGATTTTCAGTTAATCGGATACAAAAACGGAATTCTGGTCTCTCTCGTTTTAAAATATATGCGAACAAATCTCAACGTCTCTGAGAAACTGACAACTATCTCAGCGCAAAACTTTACGGCCGTGCTCGATTATTGAAGCATAACAGCTGAGCTACATGTTAACTCGCCTCGACGTATCGCTTGACGTATCGCGAGCAAATATATCGGGTCTTCGAAAAGTGCACACGATACGTTCTTCGGCATTGCGATATTACATAATCGTCATTTCACGCGGTTGTGTGTTACGTCATTATTATAATTACCCACTGTTAAAACCCCCTTCAGTGCTATTGCTTTTTGTGGAGATATTCAAACTTAAAGTCGCGCGGATCTCTCAGAGACTCAGTCTGGATAACTCGTAGGTCATTTTTTATGTGTTGCGCTGAAGGATTAACAAAAGTCGACTTGGCCGATGATGACTGAACAAAGTTCCGCTGCGGAATGTCAATTAATCGCAGCGCTAATTAATATGACGTACGCAGAGAGACGCGCTACGGTCGTTAACGCGCGTTCTATTAATAGAGATAGGATTTGCGCAATTCTCTTATTTTTCTCCGACCAAGGTCGGGTACTACTTAAACGAGCCGCGTACAAATCGGCTGGCGCATTTCAGCGCTGTTACGGCCAATCATCTAAGTTAATTCGCACGACTTTCCCGTCACGTCTTATCTCGTGTCTGCGTGCAGACTCAATTTGCACCGAGTGAGCTCTGCGTTCTCGAATACGCTCGTCACGCCATAACGTCAAGCCTGGTGTCCGAGCCGCTTCTCTTTGAGAGAGAAAGGGGAATACAGCTTCTCCCCGTAGCTTCTCGCCACGAAGATAGTGGAAAATGAAAAAAAATCTGCAAGTTAAATCTCAGAAGCTTCTCTCCGCTCGTGCGGCGGAAAAAGAAACTTACTCTCTCTGTCTCTCTTAAAGATTAACAATTTATGTATTATATATTGAAAACGATATGAAAAAGTTTTATTTGTGAGTAAAATGTAAAAAATAAAAATTTTTACATAAAAAACATCAAAAATATTTAAGTTTATTCGTTTGTTTGAAAATTTTCCTTCAAAGTGTTTGTTTTTAATTTTTCTTAATTTTTCTAATTTCTGTTTTCTATTATTATCGGCTTCCGTTGTATCACACCTTATATGTGAGCCAGTTCGCCTGGCAAACCCCGGTGCTGCGTGACACGTTTTATTATCGGAAGTACAATACGTGTAAGCTTGCGACCCGATCGCGGCGAGAATAAAGTAGGTTTCACGCCGCTCGTATGTGTAACTGAACATAATGCGCATTTCCTCAGAAAGAGATAAACGATGAGATCGACTTCCCCCTCAGTCACAGTGAAATTAGCATGTAACTATTCTTCCTCTTATTCTCTCTCGCGCGAAGCGGTTTTTCCGATATGCCGATCGCCACCGACAAATGTATACACTTCGTTCCGTATAAGGCGGACGCGACCAGCGCGCTCGCATTGTCCCCAATCGTTTCGTACCTTTCCCACGCGTCCACTTTCGCGGCCTCTCCCTCTTTCGGCGTGAATGTGCTCAGGAAATGCGAGCCCGCGCGGTATATAATGCCGTCGGAAAGTATTCGCGCGCTTTGCACTTTTGTTAGAATAAAGTTTGGGAAGATATTTCTTTGCGCTCGCAATTATAAACATTAATTGTTTATACAGAAGAAACGAAAGAAGCAGATCTCTTTGTATCTTTTGTTCTGAGCGCTAAATGCGCCCGTATGACGAATCGTCGTCCTCTCTTTGTAAAAAAAAGTTCCTGTTTTAATCCGCTGTTGCAAAACAGGACTAAACATAAATTAACATAATAAATTTCCTCCAAACGACCGTTTCAAAGAAGACATCCTTTATCCTGTATACCTGAAGAGGATGTGTTTCTCATGTATTGCAACTGCTACCACACGTGGCAAATGTGTCTTTGGAAGATAACCGGAATAATTTGTCAGCCTGACGCCACGCAGCCAGGCCTTGACCTCATATACGGTTTCGAACGCTCTGTTGCAACTCAACGTTAAGACTCTGTTGGGCGATTGTTTTTAAAAGCGAGTCAAACAGCTCGAGGATAAGGCTCAGGGTCGCCCAGGATCCGCTAACCTTTCTCCTTTTGTCATCGACGAAGTCGTCTTAAGGACGTTTATTATCCGCAGATTTTTTTATAAGCCGCGACCAACGCAGTCTCGGCAGGTTAAGTTTGTTAAAAACTTGTTGAGAATTTGTAAAAAAAAAAAAAAAAAAAACATTAACGACAACTTGCGGAAAAGCAAGAAAAATATCTATGTATGTAGAAAAATCTTCTCTTTTCGATTTCTTCAAAGTCCTCGAAAAGAAACTGCGTGAGGAGGCGCGCGAGTGCGCGTGTCGTCATTCTCGAACGCGATAATAATTTTTTTTCCCGAGAGAGTTTCAAGAAGAGCCGCGCGTCCACTTCAACGGCCCATTAATCACGCGCATTAGCATAATGATCGCGCGAGAGAAGTATGGTAACGATGATAACACGATGATAAGCGCGCTAAATCGATGAACCGACGCGAGATTATCGATTCGCGATGAACGGAGAGATTTCTGTCCGCGATACGAGAAAACGGTTACGCTGTATTTTTAGACCGTCAATTTCCGCGTGCGAGATGAACCCTCAGATGATCATACGAGCGCGTCATCCCCGAAGCGTAGCGTCAAGCGGAACGCGCGGACCGGTTATAGTTATTATACCGTAGATACCGAACGCGGATCATTAATTTAGATTTCACGTAGATTAATAGCCGCTAATACGATTCGAAATAACATAGAGTTAACGTCATCGTGAACGTCCGATAGTTCGCAGACGATATTAACCAAGAATAAAACCACTCACGTTCACAGAGAATGTCACCCCAAAACGGAAAAAAAAAACAAAAAAAACAAAACAAAAATAGTAAAACTATTGACAAGCAACGTGCTTACCTTCGGACTTCGAGATTAGATCCTTCTCGTCCACGGCGATGCACGGCAGACGATCCTTCAGCTCCTCAATCTCGATCTCCAGCTCGGTCTCGTCTTCAGGCCTGACGTTACTCTCGTCCGACAATCTTCTCTCTTCCGGTAATATCCTCGTCTCGTTTGTAGAAACATTGATCTTCGAAGAAGACAGCAGCTTGTTGAGCGAAGATCGCGTTTCGCTGCCACTCTCGTTCTGCTTCGTGACGGGACGATCCTTTTTGGACGGAACGAACTTGTCTATCTTGATTCTGTCGGGACCGGGTGGCGCGGTCTTCTTCACTTCCGGCACGATTTTCGGCTCCTTCAATCTGACCCGGTCAACTTTCGGGTCCTTGATGTTCGGAATTGTAATGAAGTTACGTTTCTCGTGCTGCTCCTGCGGCACGATCGGCGTCTCCTCTTCCTCTTCGGGTTCGGGGCTGTTGGTTCGCTGCTCCTTGCCGCAATTGGCGATCCTGCCGAGTCTGCTCCACGACAATCGCGTCGCTTCGGACGGTTTCTCGGGAGCGAATATTACGTTGTCGACGTTAAACAGCACGTTCTTTCGTTTACTTTCGATCACTCGGCCGCGCTTCAGAATGCTCTTCAGCGTCTGACGAGCCTCCTTCAGCCGCCTCGGTGGTCTTTTCGGCGACACTTTTGGGATCGGAATCCTGGTGACCGGCGGCGATACGACGTCGTCATCGTCGTCCGAGATCTCCCTGGGTCTCTCGTTGAACACTCTGATCCGCTGGCCACCGATCGCCGCGACGGCGCTTCTGTTCGGTATCCTCTCGATCGACTTAACTTTCGAAGGATCGAACAGGCTGGACGACGGCGTCGTCCTGTGATCGTCCTGCTCCAGCGCGTTGTCCGACAGATCGTCGCTTAGATCGTCCTCGTCTTTTTGTTTCTTCAACAACAGATACGGATTCACGTCGCACTCGAGAATGCTTCTTCGCGAGTCCGCGGCGATCGGCGTGGTCGTGCTGTCATTCCAGTCGTCCTGACTGGTTCTCCGCTCTCTCGGTGGCTTCTTTGGGACGCGAGTCAACCTCGCGGATGACGTTGTCGCGACGGACAGATTGCGCGAGTGACTCTTCGAGGCCTCGTCTATCATCCAATCGTTCGAGGACGCGCCGTTGCCGGCGAAACCGGGTCGCAATTTGCGATCGTCGTAGCTCGCGGCCGCGCCCGATTCCTTGTCGTACCACTCGGTTCTCGAGGATGACGATGGCGTGCCCTCAATCGAGCCCTTCCGCTCTTTCGCGGCGTTTCGCGCGATCACGCTCTGACTCCTGGAATCTCGCTGCAACGACGACGGCCGATGCGGCGAGATGCTGCGCGCTCGCGATCTCGGCTCCACCAGCCGGTTCCGTCGCATCTGGTCGTACGGATCATCGATCGAGGCCCGCAGCACGCCTAGCAAAGAAATTTAATCGCTCGCGTTACTCGTACGAGAGGAAATCGTTTTCGCTCTTCTCTTTCGACTCGACTTCATTTACACCGACCTACATCTTCAAATAAATTTTTTTCTCTCATCGAATCTTGTCTTTGTAGACCAGTTTTAGTTTTAGCTTTAATGTTTTTCTACACAGAAACAGCAAAACACATATATTTTGGTTTTGTTAACAAATTTAGAAAATAATTTTGTGTATAAAAAAAATGTTAAAGTAAAGCTCGATACGATGTGCACACTTTAGTAATGACTATCTCTTTTGCGCTTTCCATTAACCAATAATGAAGAGCATAACGTCAGTAATCAAGGAATAACACAGATCTAATATTCGCGTTTCGTATAGCCAACGACTTGATACGGGAATATTTTCGAGCACGGTCCAATTATCATCACAGAAGACCGACCGAGTGTAAAGTATCAATTGTCTAACCAGAACGTGGCTACTCTACATTTTTAACGACTCGCGAAAATCATAATCGTTCGCGGCACGCTGCTCGCGCTGCATGAACGCACAAGAAGCCACAATCCGAGTCTCGAGCGATTTAAATGCAAACTAAAGTAGGTATGAGAACATCCTCGCGAGTTAAATTCAGCTGTTTAGCCGGCGGCTGAGAACTCTCCGCGCTTGGCCGCATGCACGCTATCTCAAACGCGAACGAGGAGAAAATCTCTAATACGAAACGCGTGCAATCAGAGCATGAACATCATCGACAGCAGGAGCTCTTTCATCCCGCCTTCGCTTATCGCGAGTACCCTCGTATTTCACGACAATTGTTTTTTCTTCACAAAAACAAAAACAAAAAAAATTATCCAAATGTTAAACTAAATAATAAAAAAACACAAAACATATATATGCTTACATATATAGATAAAATATTTTATTATACGCGCGATTAAATATTTTATTATAAAATATTTTATATACATATACGTGATTGTATTTTTACTTTATTTGAATTTTTATACATATATATTTTACTTGCCGATATAAAGTAAAACTTATGTTCAAAATAATCCTCTTGAGAGGATAACCAACCAACTTTAATGAGCAAACGTGAAACACACAAGCGTGAACGGGGGAGGGGAAAGAGCGCACTAAAGACAGTAATCGTGAAATATTCGAGGACATCGAATAATCAGAAACGAGACGCGCACAAAGACGTGATTCACTTACCGGCGAGGCTGGGTCTGGACTTGGAGGACGGCGGTAGCCGGCAGGTACCGCCGAGAGGCAGTCCGGCGACGCGGTGGCCGCCGCACTTGCGACAGCTGCCCAGCTTCCTGACGGTGCCGGTGAGAAACTCCGGGCAGGAACATATCACGAGCAACGGCGTCGCGCCCGGTAGCGGAGGCGGCGTCAGAAAGGGTCGCGGCGGCTCGTGACCGGCGGCGGTTCGCGACGCCGATCTCACGGTGCCGTACAGCCACGGATCGCCGCTGTAGATCATCTGTCGGGAGAGCACGCTGCCGCCGCTTATGGTGCCCCAGCCGCCCTTGTCATCCCCGTAGTTGTGATGCTGCCGCGACAAACCCAGCCGCACGCTCCACGACTTCTTGCTCTTGCTCAGGGTGTCGTAGCTCTGTCACAGGGAGAGGATGGATAATTGAGCAGGGTAAAGCGCAACGTGATAGAGATGAAGAGGCGAGTGACGCGAGGGAATCTCAATCACATGTTTGCGAGAATTTGTCGTATTAAAAATGCATTAAGAAAATATCAAGAGTTTACTAGAATTACATCGGTACAATCATCTGTTATTGTGCGCGAGAGAGCAGTATTTAGTATCTCTTCTTTAAATATTGGATTAGTATATTTCTTTAAAAAGAAAAAAAAAAGTAAAGATACACAACGAGTTTCATATCTGATTATACATATATGATAATTACAGAAGGCATCGTTCCGTTAATCGACCGTTGTTCAGAGCAGTTGATATCGCGCACCTGTAACGACTTCCTGAACGGGACGGGAAGACACGCGAGAAATTCTGAATAAAAGTTATATATTCAAACCCACAAGACAGACGAGCCCATTGTTAGCTTCTGTCATTGTCCGGACCCCGTCTTGTCCTTTTCGACCGTCCGATTCTTTCTTTCGTTCGGTGTTTATCGAAGGTATGCCGCAGTCACGGCATGCATACAACAACATTTGTGTTGCCCGAAGAAACGAAATTCCGATGCGTATCAATGGAAACTGGGGATAATAAAACGCACTCACGTTTAAAAGGCGAGCTCCAGAAATATATTATCCTTACGTCACGAAACGAATTATCTGTCACAAAGAAAGACTTATGTGCGCTGTTTATTTACAAAAAACATTATCCATGTAATTACAATGTCTGACAAATGACACATTGTGCTATATCTAGATCTCTGTCGGTGAAAAACAAATTATATGTCTACGATTAGAAAATGTTTGCAAACGTTTATTCACTTATTTCGTTCCCCTCTTATCTCTCTTGAAAACTATAAGTAACAAAAACATGTATAATCAACATTAATTACGAGATAAGATATATTCGATCATATGCGCGATGTTTCATTCGATCAATTCCGCTTCCAGTCAACACGAGACGCGTCTTATCGCGTCTTATCGCACGACAGCGAGAAAGCGAATTCTCGCGTAGCGGATTAATCTCGCGCGAAAAATCGCCGAAACTACAATAAGAACAAAATGCGGCAAAGTCTTACGCTACTGCCTTTCACCCTCTTCGTGTCACTCTCGTCCGCGAGTTTATCCGCATCGCCTCGCGTTCGATGAATCGACCAGATCGGTCGTTTTGATTTCCCTTTAACGGCATCGTACAGCACCGGGACCGTATACGCTCGTTCTCTTCCCTCTTTCCCGCGTTCTTCCGCGTCTTTTCTCATCTCCCGTATCCCTCGAACACTTGCGAGTCCCTTCCGCAAATCGTTGCTCGTCAGCGTCAGCGTCACGATCTCCGAAGAAGGAAGAAACACAGAGAGGGGGACGTTTCGACGAGAGATGCGAGTAAATAAGTATGAAGAAACGCAACTACGACGTGCAGGAAGAAAAGAACACACGAAGGAAGCGGCAAGAAGAGTCGAGCGCGCGGAGAAAATCAAGCGCGTTTCAGGGAAAGTGAACGATCGGTAATTTAAATTCTCTCGCTTCTCTCCCTTAGAGAAATCGGAGAGAGAGAGAGAGAGAGAGAGAGAGAGAGAGAGATAACGTCGCGCACGTCTTGCGCACATTGACGTTGAACATCGTGAGAGAGTCGAGAAGAGTGAGAGAAACGATGTTGCGAGAGTAAAGAGACTGAAGAAGAGAGAACATGCATATATTTGTGTGTGTGTGTGATCCTCGCCTGTTTGCTCGCTTATCGCAAATAACATCGTGATTTATCGACGTGAGTTTCCAAAGAGATGAGAAGATTTTCTCGGCTCAAATTCCTTACAACGGAAACGGTCAGAAGATATCGATTACAATTCGCGTGCAAATTGAACTACGATTGAATTAAATATCTTTTCGAAGATCATCTTTGCTTTGTCTTCGACGCGTTCGTATCACAAACGACATTTATATAATTCTTCGTTATAAATATCGCATAGTGTTTGCAATCAACGTACATTTTTGTCTGAGATAATTTACTTAAAGTTTGTTCGTTGTGTGACTGTTAAATATCATACGAGGCATATGCGTGTCTCTTTCTGTTTATCAAAAAATCTACCGAGAGCAAACAATAGAATAACCGAAGCTACAGTTAGTACCGCACTAATAATTGCGCTTAACGATTTTTTCTAGTTAACATTTCTGTTCACGGTTCACCTTTTACTCGACGTTATAACAGGATTAGTTTTTTTTTTTTTTTTTTTTTTTTACATTATTTTGGAGGTGACACTCTTGAGAAAAATTGACAGCTCTTCTAAAATGCTAATCATCGAGTGTTCCATCTCATAAAGGGAGGAACGAATGTCGAGGAAATATATATGTAAGAGAAGTCCGGTTTGTATCTGAGCGTGAACAAAAAAGTTCGCAGCGAAAGATAGAGATCGGCTCGCAGAATCGCGGGCTAAACGGGATAAGACGATCAGAGAACACGACGCGACTAGTCCGGTCGTAATAGCGAATTACCGTGTGTTTTTCCAAACACACACACACGGTTCTTCGGAGAAACCTGCGTGCGGAAAAGTAGCGGCGCACGTCGCGCGTAATACCTACACCACAGGTGCGATATAACGAGTCCGTCCGGCAAATCGGCGCTATTCGGATTGTGTAAAAATCTTCAAAGAAACACATCTCACGGCAATGGAAAGGATACATATATATATATATACCATAACGCTTCGTGGGATAACAGCCTCTCGTGGAGAAAAGCGCGATGCAATTTCGTCGGCGCGCGTTGTTCCGTTACGTGTTGTTCGGGATATGAGATTCCGCGTACGGTGCGATTCACTCGCTCTCGAAAAATCGCGATCACCGCGCGCGGTTATGTGCGCGCCAACAAAGGAGCGAAGATCGGTCGTGACGATTAAAATCGAAAAAACGGTTCTCGGTGCGCGCGGCACGAAAACGGGGGAACGTCGGAGAATGTTGCACATCCATACGTGCGAGTTAGATTTTCTCTAATCGTGGCCACGAGTTGCTGTCGGTTGCTTTGGTAATTTATTCGGTTTATCCGCGCTTTGTAATTACGTTCTTATCTCCGATCTACGCGCGCACGTAGTTTTCGCAGCAAAGTTCGCTGATGAAGTAATACGCACGATATTAAAAGTATATTAGCGGAGAGATCGCGATACGCGATCGCGATTTGTGATCGCAACGCGCGCGCTCGAATCTACCATCATACTGATCTGTTGAGAAGATGATACGCGCGACCTCATTTTTTTTTGTTTTCTATACAATTGCGAAAAACAAGCGGATCATTATCCCGCAATTCTGACTGCAGAAAAAGGAAGTTATTGCATGTTGAAACATATCCGCGCGTTGCTTTTTTTTTTATACTACTAGCACAACACAGACGCGCGCTATGCGCACGCTTTTATTGTTTTTATTTTGACGTGTTGTGCCAATACACACAACTTGTCACCGCGATAACAGCTAGTATATACGTCTTAGAAACCATATAATATACATGATGTACATATGAGAGATGTCAAAAATAACCTAACGTGATTAAAGTTACGTGACTGTACTTTAGTCACGTGTCTTTAAAACCGTGACTAAAATAAGGTCACGTGACAGAGAAAAGAGTATAAAAGAGAATATTATATATATATATATATATATGTATATACACATATATATACCGTAATCACGTGACGGAGGTCAGTGACCCCGCCGCGGTCACGCGACCGAGGTCAGTGACCCCCCAAGGTCGCGCGGCCGAGGTCAGTGACCCCGCCGCGGTCACGTGACGGAGGTCAGTAACCCCGCCGCGGTCACGTGACGGAGGTCAGTAACCCCGCGGCGGTTATGTGACCGAGGTCAGTGACCTCAGCATTTTGATATGTACGACATGAATCTAGAAATACATCCTACAAACGTCCAATTAGTGTCGAGATAAAAGTGGCAACAATCGATATCAAGAGAATCGATTGTGATTATTTACACATGCTTTTTCTAGTAGGATTTCACGTGTGCATTTATTTTACAATTCTTTTGAAAATCTATTGAAGTGATGTTTTCGGGAGGAGATAAGAGCAACGTTAAAAGCGCGCGTCGGTACTTCTCACGAAGAACGTTGCGGCACATTATCTATCCCTCATCTGGGCGTAATTTGCATTTACCGTGTGCAGTCACACCTGTTGAAATAACGGCTTATCCGCAACTATAACATCTTTACTGGAAAGTACTGTACACTCGAATGTAATAGTAATATTTATTTTATAAGCACATGCTCTCGTCAGACATTAACAATCTGTTTTTACTGGGTCTGTGAAGTGTACTCAACATTCGGATTACTGATACATACAAGAAAGTTTCTTTTATTTGGAAGAAAGTTTTTCAAAGTTTGGTTTTTTGATCGAAATATCAAAGATGACGTATGAAAGTTAAATAAAAGTCAGAAAAAGTGAAAGTGAAGTACGTTTTATCGCTTCATTAGCATAACGGCGACAGATTTTCTGTAGACTACCGAGTCAAGTCGTACAAATAATTAAAAAGAATTTAGCGCGAATAATTAAAAGAAAACATCGCGAGCACAATTTGCCATGCTCAAGAGTGCGTAAAATTGCAAGTAATTAACGAACAAAATTGTAGCCGTAAAGCGCAGATTGGAGAGGAATCTCATGCACTTGTATTTATCGCAGAAAAATATGAAAGTATTTTTTTTTTATATATAAAAATTTTCTCAAATTAATTAATACGTTAGTGTAATCGTAAAATATCGCTAATTACAAGACATTTCTCTCTTATGATCTTAAAGCAATCTTCAGAGAATTCGCGTGTGTAGCTTCGTAAAAAATTATATCTGCGCTTTTCGGCTCTAGTTGTTATTGAAGCACCGCGAAAACGCGCAACGTATACACGAATCGCGTAAGGTCGGAAAATGGGGCAGCCGGCTGCCTCGAGGGCGTACAGCGAGGTGCACTTTACTTTCTCGTCTTGAGCGGGGACTTTCGT